ATCTGTGAATCATTATTCTGTCCCCCCTCTCGACTTTTTTTCATTTTAATGTTCCTCCTCCTCTCTGTGAATCTCAACGTCGGCTAAATGGCTAATGATAACTATCAAAACGCCTGCCATTTGAAATAAATAAACTTCAGGTTGGTACTGGGATTAGTTAACTTTTAGAGGTACAATTCGAGCCCCTACAATTCTTTTTTGCTGGGAAACACATCTATCTGTGTGTGCACTTTATCTTGAGATAAACGCAACTTTTTATATCATGGTGTCTCTTTGATCAGGAACTGAAATTCATGCTTCGATCGATAGGCGTAAACTCCAAGAGCAAAGTGGGTTCACCTTTGACAGTAACACGTTTGAAAATGGAGAATGGACAGGCCCTACGAAGCATTCCCTAATGTAATTAATGTTTGGCAGTTAATGCTCATAAGAAGGCCGCTAATTGGAATTGAATGACAGCCCCAACAAATCAAGCAAAAATTTCCAAACACCTTCATTTCAGCATAGGTATGCTAGGGATTTGAAATTAGTATAAAAGAGGATTGGTCTGTGTGACAGTATTGCCTCTCATAAGATGGTACGTCATTCTGTCATTCCTCTTGTCAATAAAATGGGTACTATTAACGTTTTGCCAGCTAGGACAGGGGTGATTAGACCTTCTGCAAACAAACATTAAAGAAGACTGTTATCAGTAGTATGGCATTAAAAAAAATTGGTAAATAAAGGTAGTATAAATGCTCGTTTATAAGAGATGAGAAGAATGTGGCGTTCAAGACGGTTAAACAAACTGAAGAGGCAATTTTCCTCAAATATGAATTCAAGAAATTGACGTTGCAGGTCAAAGGTGGAAAATGAGAGAAAATTCAATTTAGGACTCATAGTGAGCTCTCTAAAATTTGTAACCTTATGCATCATTTTGTCCAATTCACAATTTAAATACCAACTTTAAACAAACAGACTTATTATTTAAACAAAGGGTGAGCGATAGACTTACCTCCATGTGGTGCCCCCTTTGCGACGTATACTCATACGGCAAAAAGTCTATCAACCGGCAGTTGACTTCTGGCTTTAAACTACCACGATCTCATTTTATGCCATATTCGATGGCTTCCATGGCACTCACCTCACCTTACCTGTCTCTTTTACATCTGTTAATCACTAATCTATTCTCTACCCCTCGAATTCTTGTGACTTTGGTGGTTCTACTCTCTGTGAAGCCCAAAGTCAACTAACATAAAGCCTGCAACCTTATATAAGTGAACAAAGTATTTTGACAAAATAATTAGATTAAATAAAAAATATGGTTCTGAGGACACAATAACTTGGCCTTTTCTTTGGGAATCGAGGAGAATAAAGTGAGTGGGAGGAAGGAAAGCAGATTTCCATGTTTCCCAATCATTGGGAAGACAAAACAGGAGGGCTCGAATGGTGATATGAAAAATGTTTGTTAGTAATGCGTAATGTACATTGGATGAACGTAATTTTTTACCTGACAGAAAAATAATTATCGATTTTACGATTAAAGACATACAAATTTTAAGAAAATTGTTGAACTTCGCTGAGTTTGGGTGGGGGGGGGGGTAATTTGGTTTTAACAAATTGCAAATTTGATTTTTGGTTTCTCCTCCACACGAAGAATTAGGAGGCGAGTGCCCTTCATGTTCTCTCCAAGTAATTCGTCTCGGTTTTCAAACGGTTACTTCAGTATATGGATTCATAAATATGAACTTTTCTTTAGTAGGCAACAGAATTCAATAAGCTTATATAGTACGGATCTTTATGCGCAAAACATAAAGGTCAAGTAGTGCGTAGGTCACACCTATGAATACGTTGCAACCTGGAGATAGGGTTAGCATGAAGATAGCTGTTTTAGTCGTATTCTCCATTAAAGAGACTGCACTATTTGTAGATATCACTTATGCTTACAAGAAGTCTGCCATTTTTAGTCATGGGGTAACATATGGACTCGGAAAGCGAGAAGATATTTCACGAGGGAAGCAGAGGAGATTGAGATGGGGTATATAATTAAATTTTAATGTCAATTGCCTGTTTTCTTTGAATTCTGAAAGGAGAGCGTTTTTCGTTTTCACCTAATCCACGTGGCTTGCATTGTAACATCAAAACCTTACAAAGCTTAAGTGACGTGATTAAATTTCTGGGTCAATGTCCTCGATAATTGAAGTTAATTGAGCAGATGGTTTGGTTAACTGATGAAGTCCACTCAGTTCTGTGCATTCTTTGATCAAACTACAAATTGGAAATGGTTCAATGAAAGCATCGAAATCACATGAACCTATCAGACAGTGGTAAAACAGTTGTCAAATTATTTAAATATTTTCTTATGAGTGCCTTCTTGAGTGTGATAGTGGGTCTTAGACATTAGTAAATTCTTACAGCGACAGAAAGCACCTTGATTGCGAAGAATTTTTCACGAAATTGGAGGTACATATTGCCAAATTAAAATTGTGTCTCTTTTAAAATCACCAATCCATTCAATTAAGCTTTAGCCGTAAGAAGACGATACTTCGTGACTAAAATTAATCTAGAAGATAACGAATAATAATTTTATTTACCTTGATTATCAAACTAACCTTGTATAAAAAATATCTTCGAAAATAATTATTGATTTTAAGCTAATTCTATTAATTAAGGACTTTAAGGTTGATCAAATCAATAACTCCAACGAATGCACTAATGTCTACCTACAATTAGGTAAAAGATTTTATATTACATCGAAAACCCCGCACCACATTAACTGATGGTGCTTAATCCAGTTCAGCGATCAATCAATAAAGCCAAAGGAATTTATCCAAATGGTAACTATAATAACTCACTTTCTTTGTCTCATTTTAATGCAATGGTTATTTTAAATCTATCGACTTTTTTGCGTAAAATTGCAGAGCCTAGACGCATATATAGCGCTTTACTATTTTTAGTTGGCAGTAAATAAAACGCCCATGGCAATTAGAAAGGGGAGTAGTGTGTGCGTGTGAGCGTGATTTAACGCATCACAGGGTTGACATAAGTAAAGCCACTTACATTACGGTTTCTGTAAAAAAGGTATCTTTAAAATTCAATTCACTTCCTTTAAAAGAACATTTTGCAGAAGCATGGAGGAAGGAAATATTATTCGCCAATCGGATTCGCGCAGACACTGGTTGGACTGAGTTTTGCATTGAATGAATTTGAATTTCCCATGGGTAAAAAAGACGAAGGGAAATCAGTCCACGAGGTCTCATTTATTCACAAAAGTATGGATATGAGGTTGGGACTTCAATTGGGCTGAAGGTTGAACCAATCCAGAGTGACAAATTTATTGCCTAATTTCAATCCTGCATTTGATTTTCAGTCATTGATAATTGTGTCAACTAGATGAGAAAATGCGCAAAATTCAATTTAAAATTTTGCATTTCGATCATTTTATTTAATAGATTCTATTTATTGACTACCATCAACAATGGGAATGAAAGCATCGGCGTGATTATTCGTTTGCATGCTTTCAAACATGCTTTAATGTTTGACTCTGCTAAATTTACCTCAAAGACTTGAAGAGAATTATGAATTAATTAATGTAATTCGGGGAAATTTGTGGGCTCTCATTATGGCACAATTTATAATTTTTTTCGAAAAATCGTTGATTTTATTAAATGTGAAGGATTGGAATAAATCCCTTTAAAAAGAAATTCAGGCGATATAACGATTGCATTATTTCCTCAACTTTATTATTAGAAATCAGGGACTGGCGATACTTGAAAATATGGAATTCGATTAAGATAATCATTTTAATAGTTTGGGTTGCGGGCCACGTACATCATAATGGCCATCATAAAATTATAATTTAATAATAATTTTCTGCCTCCGCTGGCAAAAAATTTTTTATTTATTTCTGTACTACATTCTACTATTCACGAAAGAACGATAAACTCTTAAAAACTTTTTTCAAAAGAGATCTGGTTTTATTTTCTTGAACTGATGTAAGGGTTAATTAATTGACAAATTATTAATACTTTTACGTAATATTATCTGTATCATTTAAGTGATTACAAAATTGGTTGGCCTGTTTGATATATAACAGACAAAGTTATATTTGGATGATTATTAAAACGCCGTATTTTGTACTTAGAGTAAAACATATCTGACGGGCTAAAAATTAATATCTTAAGGCATACATATGCAACATTTAAGCCAGTATATTCTTAAAAATTATGAAAATATTTATAAAACTCGATCAAAAATGATTATTTTAAAATAGGTTTTGAACGAATTTGAATTTTTAAATTCAATGAAATTTTTTAAGCACTCAACCTACTAAAAATCTAGTATATAGCATGAACCAAGAGTTTTTACTAGTGATTGATGCAGAAGAGTTTTAGATTCTATCAGAAAGAGGTGAATGTGAGTGACCTTGCAAGTGCACCACTTCAATATGTCGAATAAGCCTTAACAGTTTATAGCCTGAGGTGATATATTATATGGATGGACGGGCAATTGTAATTGACAATGGCTCATACGAATGCAGAGCTGGCTTTTCTGTGAAAAACCAGCCTGTTATGAGGTTTCGAAACATCGTTACGAAATCACGTTCTCGCATAAAGGAGACTTTTGTTGGAGCTCCACCCGGTGAATTTGACTACACCCAATACAATATCAAATCTGCTTTCGAGAATAATGTTGTTACTCAAATAGATGTTCAGGAATCCGTATTCGATTACATATTTTCGAACCTTAACATTACCAGTTCGGGAATTGATTATCCAATTATAATGAGTGAGGCTCTATTCTGCCCTCAGCAAAGTCGATCATGTAATGATGTAATGCTTGGTTTAATCTATATATTATTCTAGTGATTTCAGAACTTCTTTTTGAGACGTATTCGGCTAATAAATTAACATACTTCGTCGATGGTCTCGCGTCTTATTATTCCAATTTTGGATCAGATCTTAAAGTAGACACTATGACGGTTTCTCTCGGATATCACACGTCTCAATTAATTCCCATTTCACATGGAGAGTACATTCCACCTGCGTGCCGTCGAATTTCTATTGGAGGGTCGTATATTTCGTGGTACCTACAAAAACTTTTATCACTCAAATATCCATGCCACGCTGATAAGTTTAGCATCACGGTTGCTGAGGTAATTTTGTTTCCATTTATCCGATCTCGTTTTTTAGGACATTGTCCATCAATTTGGAAAAGTTTGTGAGAATTATCGTGAGGAGATGCAACGTTGGAAAGATGAAGCATATTGCCAAGAGAATACTCGAACTTGGTCTCTTCGCTATTCTAACGTTGGTCCAATAAGCTTATATAATCGATTATTGTTGCTTTAGGAAACACAACGGAAAGCAGAAGAGCTAGCTGAAAGAAGACAATTTCAGGCTGATCGATTAAGGGAAATCCACCGTAAGCGGACGTTAGATAAGGTAGGATAGGGTTTGACCTATAATATCTCATTTCCTTAGATGAAAGAAGAGGGGTGCTCAGATGATTCGGATGAGAACCAGAGCTACACGTGTGAGGTCAAAAGAGTTCATCTATGTGACGATAAAAACGAGTTGGAATATAAGGATTCGAATGAGGACACTCCACCCATTTCTGAATCGGGAATTGGAGGGGAGGATGTTTTGCGGAAGCTTGCGAACCTTCGAGAACGGAAAGCTATGGAATTTCTCTCCTCACTGGCTTGTCCCGCCTCTGTTCAGGCGCAAATAACAGCAGCCCAACCTAATACCAACCAAGGTTTGACGGAAGCGAAACTGAAACGCGTAAGCCTTCTCCAATGGATTCTGTCATTAATTAACCTTTTTTTGTTATTAATCATTTTATATGGTTGAAGTAGGTTGTTTAAAATTTAAAATAAGATTGTTTAGATGTTTCCAAAGAACGTCATTAGATGTGCTCATTTGTTTATTTCGGTGGGGTAAGCATGATTCTCCTTCTCAGTCAAATTTATCTCCTACAATGCGTCTCTGGGAGATTTAAAAACAAGAGTCTTTATTTTGACTTTATTTGGATAGTGGATTGTTTATCTTAACTAGGCTACGAAACTAGTCATAGTTATTTGATACAGTAACCTTAATTATTTTTGTCCCATGTCTCCATAATGATTAGCAGTTGAAGTCTACTGGAATAGTGGTGATCGATTAAGGCACTCATTCTCATTGCTAAATGAAGAGGGTAGCTTCAATTCCTTATCTCCTTTTTCAAGTAGTGACTGCCATTTCTTTCGGAAATTGTTTAAATTAAGAGGGTGTAAGAAGACTGAAGCCATTAGCTGTAGTTCGTTGTTTTTTCTGCAAAATCAGCAAGTTAATAACTGCACTATACTCGAGTAACATGCAAACAACCGTTTCTAAGTTTAGAGACTTCAATTTTTTCCTTTTGGCTATGAGCCACCATTGATAGCCAAGGCTATACTAGTGGCTACGTGAGTCATATTATTTCCAATATAGCTGTGGTAGAAATAGCGTACCCACCCACCCGTCAAAATCCGTTCTAATTAAGTGTACTTTGGTGAATAAGCTCAATTTTTTGACAACTTATGATGTTTATTTCAATTTTCCATTCTGTAGACCTCTTGAGTACAATAGTTCAAAACCTACCAACTAAGGTTATCTTGAGTTGATTACATGTGAGTTTAGTATGATAAAGGTTATTAAGTTGCAGATTCTAGACCCATTTTACATTTTTATTTTTGGCTTTTTCGATATTCTTCGAGTCCTATTGATTTGCCGTTCAAATTATTACTATAGGTCTACAGAGTTTCCTATTGGATTAAACCACAATAGGTGTCTTTTTCGTCTCAATTTTATAATTGTAGATTCACTTCCTCTTGTTCACTTCTAAGTTTACTGTCGCAGTTTTATCGCCTAATTAACCTCCAATATAGAGTACTCAATTATACCATTGCTAATTATGCAACAACAGTACTGTAATTCGTTGTCAACTCTTTGCATTCTAATTTTTTTTAGCGACAACAGGCTGCCAGTGATCTCGAAGCAAGACGAGGAGATGACCTCTCTGTGAGTTGAATTCAACTCCCACTCTATTCCTTCTAATAAGCCTTATTTCACAAACTGTTTTTTTCACCTTCCTGTGGTCTTAGCTCTGGCTCTCGCAAATCAACAACACACGTCAACGCATTTCCAGACAACGAACTCTGCGTCTATCGAAAGTGGATCTAGCCACCGAGTTGGGTCTTCACAGTATGGATCACGCAGATGATGTCAAGGTTGCGGGTCAAGTGTCAGCCGCGGATAGAAAGCAACGCAAAATTGAAAAGATTCGTTCAATGACCAATGAGCTTAAGTCGGATCGTGGGAAACGCCTGGATAATGGTCGTGGCGGCGGGGTCAAAAAATCAGTAAGATTTTTTCCCCCTATTTTTTAAAAAAATAAAAGGTTATAATGGATAGGATCATGGAAACGGAGCACAAGACTGTTAGAAACTAAGTTTGAGGATTGAGTTTCTGGCTGTGTCAAGTCGTCGATATTAATTGCCACAAATCAGATGAAATTTCCTTCTGATATCCCAATCAGTCGAAAAAAAGCAAAAAATCAAATCTAATAAAATTTGAGAAGGTTAGTAGATAGTCATCGACATAGCAAATCGCTATTTAGTTGACGCAACTACCCTCCCTACTACTCTCATATTTCGAAATTTTCCCAGGTCGTAATGAATTATTATGGATTTTAACCCTCTCACGTTTTCTGCACTTTTTGCACATCATAGGGATGTTAGATCTGCATATGGGATAATGTGTTGGAGTATTTGTGGGTATTAGAGAGATGTGAATGATTGAATATAAGCAGTCAGCATAGATTATAATGAAAGCAATCAACTCAGTGGTGAATTGAAACTATTATACAATTACTTACAGACGACTCCTAATACCAACCTCGAAGACGAGGACAATTGGCCAGATGCTGATGTTGACGAGGAGGAAATGGTAGGTCTGGAAAGCAGTTTTAGCGATGATGGAGAGTTTGATGAAGATGCAGAATTCCAGGAGGGTCTCGATTTAATGGATACGAGGGGAGTGACAGAGGAGAATGAGGAGACAATGTCTCTCTCCCCTGAGCGTCCCCCATCTCCTTCCTCGTTTTACACTGCTCTGAGTAGGAATAGGAGTCGGTCGAGGCTACGAACGAAGGATGCTTTCGATCGATTGGAAGAGGATGCGGGTGATATCTCGGAATGCGAGAGAGATCAGCTTGCTGTTTTGGATAGCGTTCGTGCAGCATATGATCCGGAATTCATCAAGTAAATTGTGTTTGTCATGATGATGATAAGGAATGTTTTTAATTCAATTCTTACAGATAGGTGATTCCAGTTTTGACCTCAATTCTTTAAATTGGTTATGTCTTTTGGAATTGACATGTCAGCTCAAACAGTGGCAAAATTGGCTCATTAATATATCGCTTTCTCAACCTAACTATTGAGAAAATACTTGATTTTCATTGTTTTATTGCATATACTAAATGATATTTATATTTTTTTCAGAGAAACAGGGACAGTAGGATTGAAGGTTGATGTCTCTGAGTACTACAAAATTCGTCTCACCACAGAGCCTACTCGGTAAACTTGTTTTTATTAACATTGTTAGCATGCAGACGACCCTTAAATCTACTGCATTTTCGGTTTTTTCCCCAGCTCAACAGAAGTACTCTTTGAGAGAAGTCTCTTGGGTGACTCACAATCGGGAGTAGGCGAATGCCTGTCATGGGTACTACGAGACTCTTCGCGTTACCTCTTTGGAGATAGCGCCAGTGTTAACAATTCCTGGGTTCCGCGACGACTGTTCCTTACCGGCGGACCGGCTGCACTTCCCGGAATGCCGCAACGAATGCGACTGGAACTACAGCAGCTCCTCCCCTGGAAACCGGAAGGAAATCCTCTCGATGTGATAGTCGCCGGTGAGTAACTAAATTTCGAATTTATATAGGGCCACAATCCTTTCTATTAGAATTCTTATATAATTAATTAACAACTTCAAGCGTATATAAGAGTAATAGCTTTTTTTGTTTACTATAAACTAGGGTTAAGCTTTGTACCCCGCCTCCATTGTTCTATGCAAGAGATACTCCTTATGGTCGAATAATTAAGGCTTTATTGACCTAACGGTTTATGTGACCCGGGATTTTGAAAATTTTAATCCAGAAAAACCAAGCAAATCAAACGAGTCCAATAGGGCACACGACACAGGTAAGGTTGGTAGCAAGCATCCATTTAAATAAATGGGCTCCATTTTGGTGCCGTAAATGTTTAATGTAACTTGACAATTTAGGTTAAATTGGTAAAAATGATAGAAAGTTTGAATGATTCAGTCCTTAGCATCCCAATTTTTTTGGTTTTGTCTTTCTGTTTGCACATCTAAGACGTTTTCCCTATTTCTTTTGCTTCGCGGTTATGGTATTTTAAGGGAACATGGTTTATGTGAGATATCATAGCATCAGGCTTCCATAAGTGGGCTATATTAATCGCTTCAATCCCATTAGATTTCGGTACAACAACATGAAATGTATTAAATAGTTAGTATAGTTGACATATTAGTTTACAACTCTCCTTGTGATTTAGTTAAATTGGCATAAAAATATTTCCCAGTTTAAGAAGTATCTGAGTTTGAAGGTTTAAAATAAAGCACGAAATGATTTGAAATTAAGCCAATTCTGGGCTACAAAAAGCAATACACTTAACTAGAAAGTATGAGAATTTGCAAACCAATTCTCCAAGGAAGAAGAACACCTCTCAGCATTAAAGATCTTTATTTTCCGACTTCCACGATACTTTTGGCATATTTGGTCTTTACTTAAATTCAGACAATGATGTTCTAATAAACCTTTTTGACCATTTTCTTCCAGTTGACCCAAGCCTGGACGCTTGGAAAGGCGCACAAATGTGGACTAAAACAGCAGCCGAAAACGGTTTCACCGAATTCACAACAAGGCAAGTCTATGAGGAGTGTGGATTTGACTACCTGACCGAAACTGCCATTAGCAACCGTTTTTACGCCAGTCTTAAGGACCTACAAGTAAATCCCAAGTTCAATCCCGGAAGGGGTAGGCAAATTGCTGGAGTTTTGCCAAAATCTCAAAATCACGAATTATAAGGGAATATATTGTACATATACTGCATTTTTATAGTCAAATAAATTGAAGTGATCAATCAAACAAACTATCTTTTTCCCTTCTTCTACTCAAATATAGAATTCAATATGCGCTCCAGTATACCCTGTCGGATTTGCGTGATTAAGTCCATGCCTCCTCCTATATATATACCATTTATAAAGAGATGGGGAGCCTAGTGGGAGAAAACGATTAAGAAATTTCGGGAAGTCTCATACAGTCCTACATTTCGTTAACCACTTCTGATAAATGTAAGTGTCGATGACTGATACATCTTGTCTACCGTCGATGTAAAGTGTCTCAAAAAAGCCGGGCCGTGATCTAGCAATACCGTTGTCATTGATGTATTTTTCTACATATTTAGTGAGAGAATCGCAAGATTTTCCAATCAGAAGAATAGGCTTTGCAGCGATTTTAGCATCGATGAATGAACGAGTATCCATGACGTAGATACTGATAAGTATTACAGATTAATCCAATGTCCCGCGTTTGTGAGAATTTCAAGGTGGTACGAGAGACGCTACTATTAAGCGATATAAGGGGAATGGATTCGTCAATGTTGTCTTTAACAACCCAAATATTATAGCTTAAAATTTGGCTCAAGCCATAAAATTCGAAAAATATTAAGTTATAATATTGTAAACTCACTTTAATATTATACACTTAAAGAAATCAGATGTAAGCACATAGATGGACAAATAAATTATCAAGAAAATGCAATCTTTCTTCGTAAATAGCAATTTGATTAAAAATTTTTCTTATAATTGAAACTAGTGATTTGGTAACAAAAGTAAATTGAAGTGAACTGATTTAAACAAAATAGTATAGTTTTTCATTATCCTTTTAGGTAATGAGGCGATGAATTGATCACTAAATGTAGTCAGCAAATAAACCTTCTCTGCATTTATTCGGCTTACACTGAAATGTCAAACCTGAAAAACCCTTTAAATAACAAAATAAAACTTATCAAGTATGAATTAAATTACAAATACTGTGTAAAAAATAGTAGAGATAAAAATCCCATGAATAGCTTTATTGAAGATGAATTTAGCAGATTTTAATATCAACATTTTGTTTGTTCGTACCAATATTAATTTACTTGGGTCCATACTCCAATTTATTCGACATTAACTTGCAAAGTTAGTCAATTTTTATTTTTTTATGGTAAATCTCACTTGGTGCCTACTTGTAGAAACTATTTAGGGTATTTTTAATATTTTCGATAGATTAATTCAATATAAAACTTTGTAATATCCGCCTTTAGTATATAAAATTAATTTTAGCGAGAAATTTATTATCGTTTCAATTATGGATATAACACCTTAGGTTATTCTGTGAATATTTATCGTTGATAAGTTTTTTTGCAATCATATTTTTTCGAAAGGTCAAGCTTGATCAATATTTTCTTATTCAGTTATATTTATCTTTTCTCTGTCTCGAATTCTTTGTTCACATAGCATTCAAAATATCATTTTACATGTCCGTTTTCGTGTCAAAATTTTTAAAAACTCTAAGATTTCTCGTTTGTGTCTTTGCGTCATATTAGACCTCATCACAAAGTAAGTAATTACGGTTAAGTAATTAGTTAATTTGTTTCATTTTGCACTTACTCTTCTCTTTTCAATACCTTTTAATTAAATTATTAATTTTGATGTTGCTTCACGACATTATTTGTTTCAAATTTCAATTAAAACCATTTTAAAACAATTTTGAAATAATTTAGTTTCTTCTTAAATCATAGCAATGGATGAACCACCAGCTCAAATGTCGGAGCTTGATCAAATCAAGTTCAAAATGAACGCAGTAACAGATGAGGTAAGTGAAAATTTAAAAAATAGTGCACAAACTTTCATTGCCATTTTCACCACGCGTTCCAATGCGCATATATTTCCGAAACACTTCTGTTTGGCTAGTGAACTGCTCTGCTAACTCGCATCTTATTGGTCAATCCCACAGGGGTGGAATAATCTCTCCCATCCAATAAAATTATTAAGTAAGAAGTGCCTTAGGCATTTATCGTTCGCCTAAGTTTGATACTGGTCATAGAGCATGGATTATCTTACCAGAGGTATAAGTATCATATTTTCACACTGAGGATCAAATAGCAGCCTTCCCTCATTATCTTTCTTATCACCTCTGCCTCACCTCCGGTTTTTGTATATACCACGACTACTACTTTTGTATAAATACTGCTTACAAAAATGTTCGGTGGTAGAAGTAAAAGGGAAGTTAATAATGATACTGCAATCCCATTCGGGCCTGATGAAATTCAAATGGAAGATGGGACTGTGCGGATTATGACGGAGACGGAATTATTAAATAGGCGGATTGATGAAGTTACTGAAGAGGTTAGAGGCCCACTTTGTCAATATTCATAACTTACATATATTTTTGGTAGATATTAATTTGTTCATATTTTAAATAATTTTTTATTTTTTAAAACGTTTTAAAACATTTTTTTCAAAAATTATTAATGATTTCTTTAATTATAGTACATTGAAATGTCAAATTTAGTCAAAGTGTTTTTGTAAGTGGTTGGTGATGTTAGTACCGATTTTATGCAGTTGGGCCGCAAATTTTTACGTCATTTTATCGCGGAAACAGAGGTGTGACAGAAAGGTTTATTAGGCTGCATACCATACTGCGACCCCACTCATTATTTAGCCTGATTGATTGTCACTTTTTCATTTAAAGCCTATGTTTGAGATATGAGATAAGAATAAAGGATTTGCTACGATTTATTTGTGTATGAGCTTTAAATTCTCAAGAAATTTGCAAAGTGAGCAGAGTCGATAAAATTTCATTCAGAAGCTAATCTAAACGTAGACAGATGTCTGGTTCACAGTGATGTGAAAAGTTCCCAAGCCTAAATTTTATGACTAATAAGGCGAGACTCACTAAATCGTTTTACACTCAAAGTTGAGCACTATATTCTAAATAAATTCAATTAAAGAACTGGCGTTAAGTCGGCACATTGCGCGGTCTCGCTTAAAACAAATATAAAGCCATATTTAACTCGCTCTAATTTCTCACCTTGTTGGAAATTGTAAGTGGTTTAAAGATTACGTATTAGTGCTGATTTAATTTTATTTTCTGCACTGGAGCAACATTTTGACAATTTATTCATTGAGAGGCATATGATTAAGGAGAGGAGGGGGGGGGGGGGGGGTAAAATGAACCCATAAGGCCTGAATGGAGACGTGCAAAATTGCGTGAATGATTCCGAAAAAAATTGCCTGCTTATGAGTAAAATTGAATCGAGGAGACATAATTTTCACGCTTTTTTTGCGTTCGCTTGAACTGTTTCCAAACGCTACAATCAGAGAACACTGATTCACGTTATGCCCTCGCCTCTCTTACTATAACTCAACTTTTATTCTTATGTAATTCAAAATACGAAGATTTGCTTCCAATTCTTGACCGCTCTCTCGATCTTCTCGCATTCTCTACTGAATTTCATTCACTTTCTTCCACTTCCTCATTCTCCCTCTCAAACTTTTTTTTTATTTTTAACTCCACCCTTCAGAACATTTTGTTTCTCCCAAGATTCTATCTTCTTAATCCTTGAAAACAGAGGTTGTCCTTTGCTGTCAATAATCTGGCCATTAATTTAATTTTCACTTCAATCGAACGACTTTATTAGGTGAAACCAAAGGCATTTTTCTGTTTTCCAAATTTTGCGAATATTTTTTTCCCTGTAAAACCGGTATTAGTCGTTAAAATTAAAATTTTTAAGGCAATGTCATAACTCAGTGACAGAAAGACATAGACATAATAGAGAAAAATTTAAGAAATTATTATTAACTATGTCCTATTTTTTACCAATGTATGAAAAAAGGCATTAGTGACGGTCGGTGTTAGCAAAGTTCTCATTAAACAGTCCGGAGGGAATTATCTTAAAATGCGAGGAAACAGGTTAGAAAGGCAATGAGGCGACACACACTCACAAGCAAGAACATAAACTTTGTATCGTCTGCTAATTTTGGGCGATAAAATTGACCTTGACAACTTCAAATTTTGTGAATCTTTAAAATCATGGGAGTAGTAGTTTTTTGAACAGAAGATGAATAGAACACGCTATGCAAGTACTACAGTTACCAAAATGATCGCATATGTTACTACGGAAACATATTTAGGCATTTAACCTAACTTCTTACTTTCCTGCACTTTTTGCGCAAATTATGGTCTTTTAATGATGGCTTATGAAGGTGCAAGCAAGCTCTTCAACTATTAGATCTTGTCTGTTTCTTCACTTTTAACTCTCGCGGTTTCCTTTGAAATAAATGACTAAACAAACCAGAGGTGTTAAAACCCCATTCAAATCTCGAATGCTAAATTCGCTTTCAATATTTAGAATAACTTTGAATGAGCAAAGCTGAAACGATGGATTTATACCGAAAATGTGACCTTTAAACGTGTGTAATTTATGATGAAAATGCTCTTCTCTCTACTGAGTAAAGGTGTACTTTAAATTTCCATTAAATAATTTACATTTGCGAATTGGTGATTAATTTGTCTACATTTCCATGAATTTTTAATTACGTATTATTTGAAATGACCAAAAATTTATGGCAAAAATAAAAAACAGAATGAAATGAATTTTTTTACCCTTTAGTGGAAGTTTTACCTCAAGAAATAAAAAAATTTCGCCCGCTATTTGAATGCCCAGATCGCTTTATGTCTTCGTGACATCAGGTATCGCCTGCATAAATTATTCATAAGTATTCTTAATACCGTTTCCTCCATACTTGTTCTCCCTTTCAACTCAGCTCAAAATTCAAAGCATCAAACGTTTCGTTGCCATGGCAATAATGTATATTAAGCTTAGATCAAAACGATTGTGATTTGACAAACGAAGGAGAGGAATTTTAAATTAGCACAAAATACTTTTACAAATTTTTTATGGCTTAGTAAATTTAATGAGTTCCGTTTGTTTCCGTTTCCGGAACGTGAGAGTCCCTTGCAATCATTTTGGCAGGAAAATAAATTATTTTTAAAATACTTTGTGAAATTTGAATGTCATATTATTAACTCGATACATGACAACGCGCCTGTTTTGACATTCGTTTCATTAAATAAACTAACCATTTGTTATAAATGCATTTAAAAGAACTTGCTACTCTGTGAATCTGCAAAGAGAAGGCTTCAATTTTTTTACGCCAAATTAGGTAATTAGAAAATCAGGTTGATTGGACGACTGTTTCGTTGACTTAGAAGACACATGTTAAACATTTAACTTAACTGAACTTTGATTTTAAAGTATGTACCTGAAGGCAATCAGACTTTATTAGAACTTATGAAAAGCAAAATTCTTGACAATTTTTTTGTCCCAAAACCTGCGGCAACAAGGCAGACGAAGAGGAGAAATCTATTAAAAGCTGAGAGAGAGAGAGAGAGTGGAGTCAGAAAATCATGAATCGTGCTTTATTTAAACTCTGGATGC